ATATTTTTGTTGTGATTTGCCATATGCCTTTTCAAATGTTGTTTAGTCTGAAACTTTTCTCGCATTTCCGACAACTGTGCGGCTTCGCATTGGTATGAGTTCTCATATGATATTCCACATGGTGTGGTTGAGAGAAACTTCTCTTGCATATTGAACAACTGTAAGGCTTCTCACCAGTATGAGTTCTCATATGCCTTCGCATATTTGTTGCCTTCTTTTGGCACACAGTGCACTGCGATTTCTTCCTTTTTGGTTTCTTTCCTATGGGTTCAGCCGTAATTTTTCGTTTAACGCTCTCTTTTTTGGCTGTTAATTTCATCTTGATTGTTAAATTTTGACTGTCAGATTCATCTGTATTTTTGACAGCTACTTCGGCTCTCGGCATTTTAGCGGCTACTTCGGCTAATAAAAACAAATTTCCCATTTGTTCGTCACTCAATCCCTGCACTGGTAAATCCAACGGCGCTGTTTGTTCTGTTTGCGCTTCCTCAAATTGTATGAAATTATCTATCTCACACTGTGTTAAAAATTTGAAATCTTCAAAATACTGTAATGCCGCGTTGTATTTTTAACTTTAAATGAACTTACTGAGGTTTGAATGTTGCCCAGTTGGAAGAAGAAAAAGGCGAAATAAATGGAATGCATATTGAAGAAAGTAATTTCCTTGCCTATTCTGAAAAACATTCAAGTTTACTAATATTATGACTGCTTACTTATACGAAATATGACCGCCTGCTATTTGACATTCACGCGATGGAAAAATTTTTTCCGGTAAATGTCTTTTAAAATATATTGACACTGAAAAAAAATGGTTTCAATTTACTGCTAGTAAACATAATTGCATTTCTCATTCAAACGATGAGCATGAGAAGTTATTCACGCTGCAGATCGGTTGCAAACGTTCCAAAGCAAAGTCTTTACAATGTTCATAATTACAATTTTAATAAAAAGATAAGTTTATTTTAAAAAAGTGCTTGTTTACAGATTCGTCGTGAAATTCCAAAATCCCTCACAACGCGATAGTTTGAGAAACAATTGACATTTTCCATCGATATAAATGAAATAAAACTTACTGGATAAAATTCGTAGAAGAGACTTTGACACAAACGACCAGTCACTTCTTCTGTCAGGTATTGTTCAAGTATCGCCTGTATTAATAATCATCCAAATGGGAGTGGCAAACTATCTGTATTAATAATCTATGTCCACGTGTAATAATATAATAATAATAGTTGCTGTTTAATCCTTCATACTGAATAATGTCTGCATAAATGCTCATTCAAATGGGAATGGCAAACCGTCTGTATTAATAATTTATGTCCACGTGTAATAATGTAATAATAGTAGTTGCTGTTTAATCCTTGCATTGCTAAATTAATTTATGCAATGCAGTAGTAACATTTTTTGTACAATTTCGTTTCATTTCGCTTGCAATTTTTCCAAACCTACAAAATCGAGGCAATATTAGCGAGAGGGAAAAACTGCATTGCTACATTTTTCGTAATTTGCGCTATTAATTTGTATATATCGAATGATTTCACCAAATCATTTGCTCAAACTCCATATCCGTTCTCGAACATGGTTTTCAGATTTGTTAAGTGAAGGTAAAGTTTGTGAAATTTTGAAGATTCTACGATTTTAAAAATTAGTTCAAGAAACACGGGCTTAAATTAAATATGTAAAGTCTTATAAGCACTTGAATGATAGCAACGGAGTGATACGACGATGATAATGCCATGATAATTTATCAGCAAAAGCATCCGAAATACATTAATTAATAAATAAGTAAATAAAAAGAAAGACTGAGACATAGGATAAATTTTTGTTGACAATAGGAATTAAGAAAATAGCTCCTACTAGTAAAGTGCCGTCTATCCATCGTTTCGAATAATTCAGCACCGATCTCTATTATTTGTGGTCGATTCGTCCATTAGTTTATTAATTTTGAGTTTATTTTATTTTCTTTTGACATACATTATACTGTGACTTTTTCCTTCTTCCTTTTATTCATATTTTTTCGTCCAACGCTCTTTTCTTTGACTGTTAAGTTCATTGACTCTATTCCTCTTTTAGTTGCTTCTTCGGCTAATAACCCCCATTGTCGTACTTGTCTTCCACTCACTCCTTGCAACTGGTAAATCCAACAGGTCTGTTTTTTCTGTTGCACCTCCCCATATTATACGAAACTATCAAACTCATACTATGTTAAAAATTTTTTAGAATCTAAAAATTTGAGGACTCACACAGGTGATAAACTGTACAAATGCAAAATATGCGGGAAGGGTTTTGCTCAGTCATCGACTCTGCATAAACATACGAGGACTCACTCAGGTAAGAAACTTGCGAAAATTTTTTCTCTATCACAAAGTCATATGGTGACTTATGATAATGACAGGTTCAAATTAGTTGCATTGCATGCGGTGAAAAATTCCTGCGGAAATCCCATCTGAAATTACACATGATAGGCTGATAGAAATAAGCATTATTATTTCTTGTTTTTTGTATTTTTTCTATGTTAAATTCATTTTTTCTTATTGTATTGTTAGCATTCTATTACTTTGCATGTATCATTCCTCTACAATTTCTTTATTATTTCTCTTATATTTGACTAATATATAGGGAATAAAATTCCCGGTTTCACATACGAGGACTCACAGTATTCGGTTTTGATCAAAATCAAGAATCAAAATTTGGAAAAAAGGGAAGGTTTGATCAAAATGGAATTTTAATTTTCTCTTTTATTTTCTTTTCCCAAAAAAAGGTGGTGAATATATTTCTGAGGGAAAGAATGACTAAATCGTGATAGGTATAAATAAATGATTTAACCAAGAGAATTTGAATGCTTCACATTAAGTTCAATGCTGTCGTTGAAATCGCGAGGAGAAGCAGTGAATCAATAATTGCTTTGATACTGCTGGTATAATGTATTGTATGTGTAGATATACCGTGCAATGTAAGCTAATATTGTGCGTCCATTGTGTTTATGTTCTCCAATAATAATAATAATAATCCTTATGACCCCAGAAGTGACCCCAGAATTGACCTCGGAACTAATCTCAGAACAATACCAGGACCCGCCCTATTCGAGGAAGAAGGTCGTGAGCGCCAGGGAAAGACGTGTTCCAACCGGTCGGTTGGATGGATAATATCGGGCGTCATTTGGTCTCCCCTTTTATTCGTATTGCTATCATCATTGAATTTGTCTTATTGCTATTGTAATTGTTGAATTCGTTCCTGTATTAACCAGCTCATAGGAATAAAGGTTTAATTATCCAAATTTGAGTTTGAGGCACTTTCAACTAAAGAGGCAGAAAGAACCGTCAGTCTTTGTCACGGTTGAAGAAAATCAGCGACAAATGCTTGATACCGGAAATATTTTTCTTTCTGATAATTTCGTTGCTTTTAAAACTGATGAAAGTTGCAGCATTGTTCAATAACGATTTGAATTTCAGTAAAAAAATTTGATTTAAAAGCAAAAATGGGCATTTATATAATTTGAATATTGATGTTCCTACAGCAACAGTTGATATGAGATTAATCAGGATAATTCCACTCAAAATGATACTTACTTACACATTTTGAAAATTATTCAGTAAGATGAATTAGTGTCACATATTTTATATTTGCTTATTTATGCATAATGTTGGTCAAAAATAAACTGAAATGCATCGGGTTTCTGTAAAATCATTTTGAACTATTCATCCGCTCAAACAATATAATGGTTTGAAACAGTCCAGTCTGTTAGTTCTATAAACAATCTTATAGTCATTAACCAAATCTTTCTTCTGTATTTCAAGAAATTAACAATTTGAAGCGCAGAAAAACTGAATTCAAATACAACCGAAAATTTACAAATATGTACACACTACAAAGCCATAAAGAAACAAGATAAGTTTAATAGCAGAAATCATATAAAATCGCTATTATTAATTACAATTTCTGTTAAATAGAAATTCATGCAAAGAAATCCAAAAAAGAAAAAATAAACTGCACAAAAATTATTTTTGTGCAGTTTAATACTAGGAGGGAAAAAGGCATCTCGTCATTGAACCGTTTTGAACAGCAAATATCATCTTTTCGTCAATCGTTATGATTTTAATATGACTTGAAATTATGGAAAAATGTATTTAGATACTTGTAAGATCGAAGTTGAATGGAGCAGGCTACAGCAAACAAACGAAAACATTTAAGCATTCATGCATAAGACGATGAGTTGTAATCAAAAAGTTTTTGCCATTTTTGGTCAATATGTTATTTATCTTACAAATTGAATGCTGTGAAAAATCACTGAAGATGAGCCACTAGCAAACACATCTAAAAATTTTCATCTAAATATTTTGAATTAATGAGAATTTTTTTAAAAAAAAAAAACCCTTAATTTTTAGGCTATTTTTGATTAAAATTTGATACGGTTTTTGCCAATTTTGATCAATGTTTCATTTATCTGACAAATTAGTTGCTGGCAAAAATCATTGCTCATGTTACGCACTAGCCAACACACATAAAATTTTCCATACAAGTGTTTTGTATTAAGTCATGTCAACAAATGACCACTATGATGACCATTTTTGATCGGATCGAATTCATTAGCATTAAATTGTAAGAATCTTGCAAGTGCAATGCATCGACCGCAATAGATTAGCAAGCTAGAAGAGTAGTTAGCAAAAGTAGTTCTTGAGAAAAGAATTAATGGTTTTCTTATGATTTAAAAAATTAGTAAAATAGAAGCAATTGTCTCGATGAAATATACCTTAAAATCATTTATTGC